GCATGGTACATGGACTCTGGAGCAACATACCATGTCACTTCTGATTTTGGAAAATTAACAGCAAGCACCAACTACACTGGTAGTGAGCAGCTCCAAGTGTGAAATGGTGAGTTCCTTTCAATATCTCATATTGGTTCTTCTTGGTTATCTTGCCCTGGTAGAAAATTGCATCTTAGGAATGTTCTTTATGTCCCTACAATTATAAAAAACCTACTTAGCATATCTAAATTTACTAAAGATAATGAAGTGTTTGTTGAATTTTATTCTGGTTACTGTGTGATTAAGGACAAGTCTTCCAAAGCAATTCTTCTTCAAGGAATGCTTAAGGATGGTTTATACCGACTTCAACCTTCAATCTCTATTTCTTTAAACTCTACTGAAGACTTGGCAGCTTTAGTTCATCATTAGCTTCATGATAATAATTCAGTGCCTTCTTTCAGCACTTGTATTTTTCCTTTAGTATCTACAAATAATTCTAAGTGTCTATCAGGTTGTGCCTTATCTGCTAGCCAACCATGTTTGCATTGTAATAAGTGTTCTGTTACAACATCTAATCCTATCAGTACTATTACAGAATGTAATTCTGAAAATGTTTCTGTTTGTGTTGCTTCTGATATTAATAAAATGCATGGTTGGCAATCATTTCTTGCTCAAAGAACTGATGTTATGCTGTGACATAGGAGATTAGGACATCCAAATAGTTCTATTTTAACTAAAATCCTAATTGATCTTAAAGTACCTCACTCATCCAAGATTGATTACACCTTCTGCCAAGCATGTTAGTTTGAAAAATTAAAACAGTCTATATATCCTAGGTCATCTTCTCAGTCAGCTAAACCTCTTGATCTGGTATATTCAGATCTCTAGGGACCATCTCCTATCTCTTCACCTGAGGGATTTAGGTATTACATCCAGTTTTTGGATGATCACAGTCGGTTTATCTGGATATTTCCCTTGAAAAACAAGTCTGAAACTTACTCTATCTTCACTCAGTTTCATAAGTTAGTGGAAAGACAATTTAGTTCAACCTTGAAATGTGTTCAAACTGATTGGGGAGGAGAATTTAGGAGTCTTGTACCTTATTTTGCTCAACGTGGTATTACTTTTAGGCACCCATGTCCTCACACCCACCAACAAAATGGTAGAGTAGAGAGGAAACATAGACAAATTGTTGAGCAAGGCATAACCTTATTAGCACCAGCTCACATGCCTCTCAAATTCTGGTGGCATGCCTTTCAAACTGCAGTTTACTTAACTAACAGACTTCTTTCTCCAGTGCTCTCTAACTTTTCTCCATTTCAAAAACTGTTTCATCATTCCCCAAACTATTCTCACATAAAGGTCTTTGGTTGTGTTGCTTATCCATTCCTTAGACCCTATAACCATCACAAATTTGATTTTCATACCACTAAGTGTACCTTTATTGGTTTCAGTTTGCATGCAACACAAATGATACAAATATCTTGCTCCTGGTGGTCGAATTTATATATGTCAAAGTGTTAAATTTGATGAAATGGACTTTCCTTTCTTCACTCCTAAAGTTTTCAGTGCTTAAACTTCTTGTCCAGATCCCATACAGTCCTCCTCTGATTCTGTTTTTCAATCTACTTGGTCTGTTCCTAATTCTGTGCTATCTTCTTCTTCACATCATCTGCCATCTTCTATGTCTTCTGTATTTTCTAATAATCCTATAAGTCATTCTGAAACCTCTCATCCTTCAGCATCAATGATTGATCAATCTATTTCTACTCCACTGGTTGAACAGTCTCCATCCTCTTCTCCTTGTCTTATTGCATATGATCATGTTTTCAACAAGCATGATTTATCTTTAGTTCATGATAATTCCTTGTCTGCTACTTCTCCTATCACCATTGATTCTGATGCATCTTTTGAGACCATACCATTGATTGTTGATTTATCCTTTCCACCATCCAATATCCCTACCCAAAACACTTATCCAATGGTCACTAGGTCCAAGGCCAAAGCTCACAATACTGTCCTTATTTCCACCTCTCACCTTGATACCAAGGAACCAAACACTGTTTTGGAAGCACTTTCTCATCCCTCTTAGACAGCTGCTATGAAATCAGAATTTGAAGCTCTTTTAGCTAATCAAACTTGGGAATTGGATCCATTAACTCCAGACATGCATCAAGTGGGTTGTAAATGGGTGTTTAAAGTTAAACATAATGCTGATGGTTCTATCCAAAGGTTCAAGGCAAGATTAGTTGCAAAGAGCTTCCAGCAAACCCCTAGAATTGACTACCTGGAAACCTTCAGTCCAATTGTTAAATCCCCCACTGTTAGAGTCATTCTCAGTCTAGCTATGAGCCATGAATGGGACATTCAGCAGGTAGATATTAACAATACATTGTTGAATGGTGAATTAGCTGAAAATGTATATATGGTATTGCCAGAAGGGTCTGTAGATTATGTCACTCCTCATCATGTATGCAAGCTAAGAAAGGCACTTTATGGATTGAAACAGGCTCTAAGAGCCTGGGTTGACAAACTTAAAGCAGCATTTCTAGATTGAGGTTTTGTAAATTCAATGGCTGATCCAAGCCTATTTATTTTCCATAGTCAAGATCAAGTAATGTATGTCGTAGTATATGTGGATGATATACTCTTGACAAGAAATACTGCCCAGCTGATTCAAGACACTGTCCAGAAACTTAACACTCAGTTTGCTTTGAAGATTCTTGGATCTTTAAAATATTTTTTGGGTTTTGAGGTTACACGAGATGCATCTGGTCTTTACATGAATCAAGAAAAGTATGCAAAGGACATTCTCATCAAAACCAAAATGGTTGATTGCAAACCATGTTTTACTCCAATGGCAGTTGGCTCTAAACTCACTCCTGATGATAGTGATCCATTTGATAATCCTGCTTTTTACCGCAGTACCATTGGAGCCCTGCAATATCTTATCCTGTCTAGACCAGACATTGCTTATTCAGTTAATAAATTGAGCCAGTTTTTAAAGGCCCCAACATAGCTTCAATGGGAGGCCTATAAGAGGCTGCTGAGATATGTTAAAGGAACTTCTAATTATGGAGTTCACTTCACTAAAAGTCATCTGTTTCAGTTGGAATGTTTCACTGATGCTGATTGGGCTAGCAGCTTGCATGACAGATGATTAACCAGTGGCTGCTTTGTGTTCCTTGGATCCAACCTAATTCAATGGTTTTCTAGAAAACAAAGAGTTGTTGCTCTGTCATCTACTGAAGTAGAGTATCGAGTCCTTGTACAAGGATCAACTGAGATTATCTGGTTTTGCAGTCTGTTCACTAAGCTTGGACTGCAACTTTCTGGTATTCCTATCATTTGGTGTGACAACCAAAATGCTGGTTCCTTAGCCTCAAATCATGTGTTTCATGGTAGGACAAAACACATTGAGCTTGATGCTCATTATGTGAGAAATCAAGTTACTGCCAACAAACTAAAAGTTCAGTATGTTCCTACTGAATTTCAGAAAGCAGATGTGCTTACTAAAGCATTGCCAGCCTCCAAGTTTGTAACCTTTCGAGAAAAGCTCATTGTCAGAGCTACTCCATCAGTTTAATCAATCTGTTGCTAAACAACTTGCTATTGATGTTCTGTGTTGTTCTGGAGTTTAGTTTTGTAAGTTGCTTATTTGTTTGATGGTGGTTGAAGTTAGTCTAGTATTCAGAAGTATTGAGTTGAAGTTGTTTTTGCTGGTTGGTGAAATTTGTATTGAAGTGTTGAATCTACTGAATGTGCTGAGTTGAAGTTTTTCTTGCTGGTTGGTGAAGTTCGTATTAAAGTGGTTTCAGAAGTGTTGAAAGTTTCTTACGATCAGGAATATAAGTCCAACATCTGCTCGTGACGAACTAGTTGCTACAAATAGCTCGTCTCATGCAAATGCAGCAGCGCATGGCGAACTGGTTGCTATAAGCAGCTTGTCTCATGTAAATGCAGAATCTTGTGGCGAACTGCTTGTCAGTTCATATTAAAGTAGTTTCAGAAGTGTTGAAAGTTGCTTACGATCAGAAACATAAGTCCAACATCAGCTCGTGACGAACTGGTTGCTACAAATAGCTTGTCTCATGCAAATGCAGCCGCTCGTAGCGAACTGGTTGCTATAAGCAGCTCGTCTCATGTAAATGTAGAAGCTCGTGGCAAACTGGTTGTTACAAGCAGCTTGTCTCTTGCAAATACAAAAGCTCGTGGCGAACTGGCTGCTATAAGGAGTTCGTCTCATGTAAATGCAGAAGCTCGTGGCAAACTGGTTGCTATAAGCAGCTTTTCTAATGTAAATGCAGAAGCTTGTGCCGAACTAGTTGTTACAAGCAACTCGTCTCATACAAATACAGAAGCTCGTCTCAGTTGTCAAAACAACAAGATTATGGAAGTTTGGTTTAAGGAAAGATGTTAGGATTAGTGTATCAAATGGTTCATACCTATGGAAGTTTGGTTTAAGGGAAGATGTTAGGATTAGTGTATGTAGTGATTCATGATGTTTAGGTTACTTATAAATGACTTTAGCCTAAGCTGCAACTTGTAATTTGTTACTTACACGTGTATTGCTGCAAGTTGCAATCTGTTATTCATGTATATTAGACTTGTGTATATAATAGAGCTGTAACCTTTTTCTGTTCAATTAATGAAAGTTAATAGAAAACAACTTTACTCTTAAACTTTACTCTCCTAATTTTTCACTCTCAATTCGCATTCACAACTCAAATGTTCTGTGTAGAAATTCATAAAACATGAAAATTCATCCTTTATTTCCTATATTTGCTATTATAAGCACTTAAGCAAATATTATTTTATTCATTAAAATTATATACTTGTCCCTGCACTGCGTGCTTGATATCATTTTTTATCAAACGGGGTGAAGTGAACCAATGGGCGACACTGAAGTTGCGGAGACAAGGTCATTGAATTGCCTGATCCAGCTTCAAGTTTAATCTTACCGCCATTAACTTCAAAATCAAAGCATTGAACCATCGGGGCAATTGCAGTTTTCAGCAAGGCTAATAATAAGAGTGAACCCGGGCAGCTTCTCTTTCCTCCTCCAAAAGGAAATTGAGAAGTTGTTTCTTTTTTTCAGCATCTTGGTTATAATCTTGTTCTTTCGAAGAAACCAAGAACCTCTCAGGCTGAAACTCGTTTGGTTTCTCCCACAAATCAGGATCCCTCATTATGGCATATATATTAATAGCTGTTACAGTTCTTTCAGGTATATCAAATCCTTTGATGTTACAATTTCCATAGACTTCCCTGATTAATAGAGGTGCTGGTGGATCCATTCTTAGTGATTTCTTCACAAGGGCCTGTAAATATGGAAGATTTGGTACATCTGATTCTTCAACTAGGCTACTCCTTCCAACAACTGATTCAATCTCTTCTCTAACTTTACTGAACAAATCAGGATGGTTAATTAGCTCCACCATTGCCCATTTCACGGCCTCGTCTGCGCCACTGATTCCAGCAACCAGGATATCCTGTAGGTAAACTAACAAAATTAAGAATATATTGATGAATGTAATGAAGAAACTTTAATTTTCTTTGGGAAAGAACCAAAATATATATATATACACACCAAAATGAAGGCCTTGATGTTGGTTCTGGAAATCTTGAACTCCAATTTGTCATCATGATAAACCTCCAAGAGAATATCCATCAAATTTTTATTCTCTGATCGCTCTTCGTCTTTCTTTGCTCTTTCTTTATGCTCCTCTAAGATCCTTTCCAATATCTTATTATATTTTTTAATTATATCTTTAGCCTGTTTCTCAAACAACCACGAAGGAAAAATTCTACAAGGCCCTAATGCATCCGCAAATAAAAACTTGGTATTTGGCGAAACTGACTCCTCCACCATGTTTTTCATCATCTCAGCCTCCCTATTTTCCTCTGAAATTCCTGTACCTGTCACTATCCTGAATAGAATAGTGCGTTCCAGCTTCCCTAACTCACTTTCCGTGTCCACAACCTCATTTTCACTGGCTTTCCTCATTAACTTACGCAAGAGTTTCATAACCTCTTCTCGTCTAACACCACGTGACCTTTCCAAGAGTACACTATCCCGAAAAGCTGATTAAACAGAGTAATGACAAGATCAGGTAATAATATTGCATGGCGGCCATTGCATTTGCATGCATATGCATGTTTCATAAAGGAGGATATATATAAGAAATCTAAATAATAGAAATAAAATCAATTAGTTCAATATAACATTATAATTATGTAGCTTGCTTCCTACTTTAATTATGTTATGCCTAAAAAATCACGTTTATGTCAGTTCAATAAATGTCTTTTTGTACTAGTTGTCAAACCCATACATCCTCAAAGATATTCATACCAACCTTATTTCATTTCAAGAGATGAATGGACGAAAGCTCTCCATGTGTCAAGACAACTTATAAAACACTCATTACATTTATCTCAAAGATGTATAAATTGGCATTTCTCTTCACGAAAGGGGAGGCTGTGCATATGAGAGATAGACACAAATTTGAGCTTCATTATTTCTCTCTATAAACAAAGTATTTCTGCATCTTTGTATGCCTTACAGATAATATCATAGAAATAGCTAGAGAATAATATAATAATAGTGGATGTAGGATTTACTTTAAGCATCCGAACCACTATAAAAACCCATCTTGCCAATCTTTTATTTACGTTTCAGCATCATATTCAAATCTCTTGAATTCATCACGTGTGTCTTCTGAGTCAGCACATCATTTCTCACGTGCGGTTAGTTGGTGTCAAAATCAAGCATAAAAAGTTTGATGGCTCATGCAAGTCTCAAACCTGTGTTAGAGTTCCCGATGGCGTGGTCAGATCCTAGATCGCACGCATCAAAGTTCTCCGACAGCATGGTCAAATAGCTGATCGCACGCTCAGGTCCTTCTTATCTTCAATTTTAGATCGCTGATCTTTAGCTTCAAATCGGGTGTTCCAATCGCTGATCGCATGATCAGATCACTGATATTCAGCTTTAGATCGCTGATCTTTAGCTTCAAATTGCACGTTCAAGATCGTTCAGATCGCACGTTCAGATCGCCTAGACCGCGTGGCCAGATCGCTGATCGCACGCTGAGGTCGTTCTGATCTTCGGCTTCAAATCGTTGATCTTTAGCTTCAAATCCCGTGTTAAGATCACTGATCTTCAGCTTTAGACCGCTGATCTTTAGCTTCAAATTGCGCATTCAAGATCGTTGAGATTATGCGTTCAAATTGCCCAGATCACGTGGCCAGATCGCTGATCGCACGCTCAGGTCGTTCTAATCTTCGGCTTTTGATCGTTGATCTTTAGCTTCAAATCGCGTGTTCAAATCGCTAATCGCATGCTTAGATCACTGATCTCTTGTTCTCAGATTGAGCTCTTTATGCTCTCTAATTGAGCTCCTTATAATCTTAGATCGAGCTCGTTATGCTCTCTGATCGAACTCCTTACGATCTTACATTGAGCTCCTTATGCTCTCTGATTGAGCTCCTTATGATCTCAGATCGAGCTCCTTATGATCTCAGATCGAGGTCTTTATGCTCTCTGATCAAGCTCCTTATGATCTCAGATCGAGCTCTTTATGCTCTCTAATCAAGCTCTTTATGATCTCAGATCGAGCTCGTTGTGCTCTTTGATCAAGCTCCTTATGATCTTAGATCGAGCTCGTTATGCTCTCAGATCGAGCTCTTTATGATCTCAGATCAAGCTCTTTATGATCTCAGATCGAGCTCATTATGTTTTTTGATCGAGCTCATTATGCTCTTTGATCGAGCTCCTTATGATCTTAAATTGAGCTCCTTATGCTCTTTGATCGAGCTCCTTATGATATCAGATTAAGCTCTTTATGCTCTCTGATCGAACTCCTTATGATCTTAGATCGAGCTCGTTATGCTCTTTGATTGAGCTCGTTGTGATCTTAGATCGAGCTTGTTATGCTCTTTGATTGAGCTCCTTGTGATCTTAGATTGAGCTCTTTATGCTCTCTGATCGAGCTCGTTATGCTCGAATTTAGCTCTTTACGCTCTTTGATCGAGCTTATTATGCTCTCAGATTGAGCTCGTTATGATCTTAGATCGAGTTCTTTATGCTCTCTGATCGAGCTAGTTATGCTCTTAGATGGAGCTCTTTATGCTCTCTTATTGAGCTCGTTATGCTCTCAGATTGAGTTCGTTATGATCTCAGATCGAGCTCGTTGTGCTCTCAAATCGAGCTCCTTGTGATCTCAGATTGAGCTCTTTATGCTCATTGATTGAGCTCGTTATGCTCAAATTGAGCTCTTTACACTCTCTGATCAAGCTCGTTATGCTCTCAAATTGAGCTCGTTATGATCTCAGATTGAGCTCTTTATACTCTCTGATTGAGCTCATTATGCTCTCAGATTGAGCTCTTTATGCGCTCTGATCGAGCTCGTTATACTCTCAGATTGAGCTCGTTATGATCTCAGATCGAGCTCGTTATGCACTTAGATCAAGCTCCTTGTGATCTCAGATTGAGCTCGTTATGCTCTCTGATCGTGTTATGCTCTCTGATCGAGCTCGTTATGCTCTCAAATTGAGCTCATTATGCTCTCTGATCGAGCTCCTTATGCTCTCAGATTAAGCTCGTTATGCTCTCTGATCGAGCTTCTTATGGTCTGATTGAGCTCATAAGCTCACTCGTTTACTTGAGATTGTGTGCATTAGACCGTTTAGATCACGTGCCTCAAACTCTCAAGTCAAGCTCCTATCAAATCGCGATCAACTTCTAGCTCTCAGATCGCGATCAATTCCTAGCTCTCAAATCATGATCAGCTTTTAACTCTAATATTGCGAACATCCTCAGCTTTGAATCGCTCCAAGCTCTCAGATCACAATCCTAACTCTCAACGCTCGATCGCGCCAAGCATAGTTCGAGGTCTTCAGGTCGAGACTGCAGCTTATAGTGCAATAGCCATTCAGATCAAAGACCTAAGTTTTTGAAGCACGATTACGCATTCCAAAAACTGGGGGGCTTCTGTTTTGCCTAAAAAGTCACGCTTATGTCAGCTTAATAAATGTCTTTTTGTACTAGCTGCCAAGCCTATACCTCCTCAAAGATATTCATACCAACCTTATTTCATTTCAAAAGATGAACAGACGAGAGCTCTCCATATGTCAAGGCAACTTGTAAAACACTCATTACATTGAACTTAAATATGTATAAATTGGCACTTCTCTTCACGAAAGGGGAGGCTGGGCATATGAGAGCTAGGCATAGATTTAAGTTTCATTATTTCTCTCTGTAAACAAAGTGTTTCTCCATCTTTATATGCCTTACGGGCAACATCATAGAAATAACCAGAGAATAATAAAATAACAGTGGATGTAGGATTTGTTTTAAGCATCCGAACCACTATAAAAACCTCTTTTGCCAATCTTTTATATATGTTTCAGCATCATATTCAAATCTCTTGAATTCATCATGTGTATCTTTTGAGTCAGCTCAATATTTCCAACGTGGAGTTTATGTTAAAATCAAACATCAATCAGTTACTTTCGAATAAATTTGCCCCATTTGTATTTGTATAATATAAGCTGCATGGCTGGGTCAAATGTTTTGAGAAATTACTCAACTATAAAATAAAACTTTTGTTTTGAAAATGACGATATATAAATGAAATTGCGTGAAATGAAAATATAATTAATGTGAGGATCAATTTTAGTTTTAATTAGCGCTTGATGTTTGCTAAGCCAAGGTTATGACTGGGGCAGCTGGGCACCGCGCCGGTGCTCCAAATGAATATGTAAATGAAGTATGTCAGTTTGAAAATAATAATGTCTTTTTTTACGATTAAGTTATATAATTAGATACAAAAGATACAAAATTTACATAAAAGATTACTCTATCATCTGTTTTTTTGTCTGATTATATAACTTGATTGTAAGTATAATATTGCTTGACTGAAAACTCTTCCACCGAACCTTGCACTATAGGCCACAATCTGCTTCTTTCTTATGCACCAGCAGCTCAACTATACAAGCAAAAGTATCAGGTTACTAGCTAATTATTTCTGATTATGTTTATATATGTATAACAATCCATTTATCTAGTTTTACAAAACATTAGTATTTTTTTCATTATTTTATGTTTTTTATAATAGCATTTTAAAAAAAATGAAGTTGAATTGAATTGGATTATTTGAATGAGAGAGATAATTATTAATATTTTAAATTAAATTAAATTTTATTTAAAAAATATTTAAGCAAGATATTTTTATGTTTTTAAGATAAAGATAATAAAATAGGCAGGGTAAAAATGGTGAAACAAAAGTCTACAGACAATGCTTTAAAATGCATGACATAAGCAATATTTAAAAGTCAATGTGATAATGAGTAGATAATATTTTATTTACCTCTCATTAAAATATGGTTTAAAAAATAAAATTTGTCAAAAGGGCTTACTCATTAAATGATGTCATAGGTAATCATGGTGTTTGGTGGATTAAACGAGGGAAGAACATGTTGGTGTAATTGAAATGACATGTGATAGGATAGGAGGTTTCTGTGTAGTTTTTTTAAAATTAATTAGCTCATTTTGATAAGAAAGAATGAAAATATGTCAGGGCTGTGCGGATCCGGGAAGTTGGCCCAAACCGATTAACCGGAACTCATTTTAATTCTTGTCATGAGATGAAAAAAAAAAAAATATATATATATATATATATATATATATAATCATGCAAGTATGGATTAATTGTGACCCTCGTGTCCTAGTGTACTCATAAGCGTGTGATCATCATCCTGGCATGGCATGTATGCAGGGAGGGCTTGAATGTGAAAGGCTATTTTGCACGGTCAGTTTTACATAACTTTGACTGGAAATCTGGTTATACTCTGACTCTAAGGTTTGGCATCAACCTAATGGTTTCAAAAGACATCCAAAGCAATCAGCTAATTGGTTCAAGAATTTTCTGCACAAGTAGACTGATAAGATCATACTACTACTCTACTCCTTCCATTGTGCTCAACTCATAATTTCTCTCTGTATAT